AAAAGGTATGCCCCAAATTGAAATTGACTACCCAACCCACGGCTCGTCTGAATATGCACATATAATGTGCTCCATATGTATAAATGCAGATTTTTCAAGCATAAAATGTCGAATTGTTATCAAATGTCGGCCATGGCGGTGGAGGATTTTTTTACAAATCGCCATGCTAAATTTTTTAAGGATGGCAGCTATGGTGGCGCCATAAGCCACCACAGCAGGATTTTGGCATACTGTCATTAATAACATCGTAAGTGTCTAAATTTTAGTGATTCCTAATCTTACATGTCAATTTTTTATGCTCCGCATTCTCTTCTCATGTTTCTAGTAATCAGAGGTAGCCCATGTAGCTTCATGCCTCTTAAACTTTTAAAATTATAACATTTGAATAACTACGCTTACAAATATATTGTAAAACTTGATAACTTTTTTTATTTGTTATCAAATTTTCTAATATAATATATATCAAATTAAGTATATCAAATTTTGACCAAGATTAACTAATATACATATCTGCACCTATAAATCCAATATGAACTAACATACTAACAACATGAACTTATACGCGGGTAATCATCAAATGACATAACACATTACCAAACAAAGGCGCGAGTATTGCAAACTACGACAAAAAAAACTCAAAAATCAAGATTCCATACAGGAAATGGGGAAGACGTGAATCCTGAGGTAGACTCAGTAATGGCCACATAAAACTGATTCAAAGTCATCTAATATCACCACCAGGTGCATTTTTCAAAGTTTTTCAGTCAAACATTCTCAAACAAACAAAAAATATTTTCTGAGCATACACAATAATGCATAATTATCTGATGAAAATTATCTAATATCCCTATAAAAGTCGAACACACAAGTTTCCCATCGAAAAGCCCCAATTTGACAAAATTCCGAAATCACACGTGGTTCCAAACAACAAGTGAAACAACTCGTAAATCAACCACCGATATAAACAAGGAACAAAATCCTAATTTAAGATCTTCGAAAAAAACTCAAATCGAAACGTAACCATTCACCGGAGGGACCAATTCGACAAAGACGATCTCAGTAGATAACTTGGAATAGTTTAATTGCAAGCAAGGGCAGAATGCGTACCTCTTACTTCAACCAACCGCTCTCTCTCTTTCTCCTACGAGAGACGATAAAATTTAGCCAAGTCGGAGGATCTCGCGTATACTCGAAAGATCGACAGTTCAGAGTATATCGGACGGCCTATATCGATCACTGTGTTTCGTTAGCTTAATCTGACAATACGGAATGGGGTACGTCCTACGTCGTGTTTCTTTCTGCCAAACGTACGGCCAGTAGGGCTGCACAATCGGTTAAAACCGAACCGAACCGAACCGAATTTTCGGTTCGACCAATATTAAAACCGAAAACTACGGTTCGGTTCGGTTTCAAACCGAAAATTTACCGGTTGTTTCGGTTCAGTTATCGGTTATCCGACAAAATGGAGAAATGACGAAAAAAAATTTACAAATAACAATAGATACATATTGTCTCCAATAAATCAGTATTCACTAAATGCACAACTCTCAGAAATCATCAGAAATTCAGAATCCTATTCAAATCAAGAGCAAGCCCATCAAAAAATTCAAGTTTTTTATTAGTATTACAGTAGGTCACAGAAGCAGATTGGTTCAACATGTCAGTATGTCACAACAATTTGGAAACCCACAAGCCACAACCGTACAGCTCAAATCATAGGCATAAAAATTAACCCAAAAAAATATGAGCTCAAATTGGGTGGGTGCAACCCGTACAATGAATCACGACTCACAGGCCCAAAGAAGAATGAGAGATTCAAAGCCAGAAAAGAAAATTACGAATATGAGTTGCAGCCCTTACGAGGGGATTTGGGTGGCGAACTCAATTGAGAAGACGAGCGTCACGACGGCCTGCGGGGTGGAGTGTGTGCGGGAGCAAGAACGACCGAGCGAGGCGATGTGGGATTTCAAAATTCCGGCGATATTGTGCGCCGACGCCGAGCAAAGGGAGATGGAGCGGGTGATTTTGTGCACCGTGCGGCGGACGGGCGGAGAAGTGCAGTGCTAGGTAGGGTTTTCTGGAGGATGAGACGATGAGTGACCGTGAGAGACGATTTGTTCCTGGAGGATAATATCTGCTTCTGTCGATGGAATTGGACTATTGGAGTGATAAATTGGGCCTGCTTAGTGCTTTGTGGTGGGCGGCCCGTTAACTAATGGCAATTGGATTGAATAATATATACTGGGCCTTTTTTAACTTATATAATATCGATTTTCGGTTCGGTACGGTTAACCGACGAATTGTAACCAAACCGAACCGAAAACTGAAAAATTAAGAAACTTAAAACCGATAACAGAACCAATTTGTCGGTTTCGGTTTCGGTCGAAATCAAAAATTCGGTTTCGGTCGGTTTCGGTCAGTTATACAAAATTTGTGCAGCCCTGACGGCCAGGATAGAAAGCTGAAGGCATGGCGCATAAAGAGGTAGCTCATTGTGATTGTTTGATTGTTCTTGGTTGATTTATTCGGCTTTTGAAAGATTTTTAAGGGGTTAATTACTTATTACACCATATCTATGTTGGGATCTTTTATGGTCAGGTACTCTTCGTACATATTTAACATAAGATACCCTCTATTTGACCATTAGATTGATTTAAAATTGAATATCAATCCTAGATTCAATTTACGAGGCAAAAAAGAATTTGCCTCGTACTTGATTCGTACACCTCTTACATGTTAAAAAAACCTATTATACCCTTACTTCTTTAAACTTTAATTTAATTTAATTAATTATAAAATTGTTAATTGTATTTACTTTCAAGACCATTTATTTATCTTATTTGTCTAACAATCCTACAAATACAAAAACATATGATCACATCCTCAAGTTTAGTATTATTACATATCATATACCAATTAAAATTAAATGATCTGTTCATCTTTTTTTTTATCGGTTGAGGTTTATCCATCGTTCTTCATTTCACGCCTTCATCTCAGCCACATCGCCGTCGCGTCCTTCAGTTCCACGGACGAGAACTTCTTATCCCTCACCCAGGGGTGGGCGCGGTCCGGGACGGTCCGGGATTTGACCTATCCCGGTACCTGTCCCGGTTTTTTGAACGGTCCGGGACCGGTCCGGGACGACACCCCGTCCCAAACGCATCGGTAACAATCGGGATCGGGACAAAACGGTTCAAGACTCCCAGGACAAAATGGGAAAAAATAAATGTTCAAACTTCAAACTATTCATTGTTCCACTTAAAAAAAACTTTGATTTCATAGTCTGTTTCCATTCAAAAATCAAAATCAAAGNCAACTTCATTCAAAAAAGGTAAAAACAAAGCTACTGATAGTCTGTTACTCTGTTACCATTCAAAAAACAAAATCAAAGGGTACATAACATACTTCAAAAGTTCAAAATTAACTAATTCCATTCAAAGCTGCAAGCCTGCAACCCACTAACCAAACATTCAAATTTGCACGGGATTTGAAGCACTGCTTGGTGTTGGTGGAGTTTCCATTGTCGGTGAATGTCTCCCAACTGCAGGAATTTTCAGAGATGTGCCACAGGATTTAGATATGGTATTTTGGAAATTAGGGTTCTTGATTGTTTGATTGGGAATTTGAGATTTGAGGTTTAAAATTTTAGCACATAGCAATATATATTGAATTAGGGTTTTGAATTTGAGAACTGAATCGAAAAAAAAATGGTGAGATCACTGAGATGGAGATGCGAATGGCGACGCGATGGAGAATTGCAGATGGAGAAGAAATGGGGGAAATGAGGAGTGTTGTGTTGTCTCATTGTCTGCTACTCTATGCTTTGCCCGTAAATACTAAAGTTTAATTTTTAATTTTCATTTTTTGGGCCAAGCCAATTACATGAATTAGGCTTTCATTATTAAATACAAAGCCTGCTGAATTAAAAGTTTAAAACTGTAACCAACTCCATTTCCAAGCCTGTTAATACTAACATAAATATAAATAATGTATTATATATGATGTAGCATAGCATCGCTGATATTAAAGGAAGTAGCTCGGTAGGTAGGCTGACCTGGTCCACTCAAAGTAAGCGCCGGATTTCAGATGAGCTCGACCAAGTGCGAAAACCTAGCTGACTAGCCGAGCTAGTTGGTCAACTGTGGGAGGCCAAGCTTGTAAGCTGGCAGGTGAACGAGCTGATAAATGACGAACACACCTGAATGTTGGGAATGAGCTCGGCAGTACAAAGGAAGGGGTCAGCCTGGTAGAAGGAGGTGGATGATGTTACGACAGGGAGCCGTTGCGCGCATCATGGAGATCTTCCCGGATCATAGGAAGACAGGGTCGAGTAGGACTCTATGGTCGTTGGATAAGATTTGCATTGCCCAGAGGTAGGCAGAAGAAGGACTCTTGTCATCACAAGAGTCTTTAGGGTGTCCGCCTTCGGATATAAAAGGGGCAGGTTCCTTTCTTTTTACACATAACACACAACATCTATGAACATACACTTTGTCTCATATATCTGTTACTTCTCCTAAATTCGTCACTGACTTAGGCGTCGGAGTGTTTGCGCCGGGACCACCCCCGGCGTACTTGCAGGTTACCGGCGATTCAAGGAAGGCAAACCGATTCGGAGAAGCAATCTAGCAGTTCGAGACAATTTGACATATCAAATTGGCGCCGTCTGTGGGGAGATTCAGTTTCTACAACTTGAGATAAGAGGCTGATTTTTCTCACCAACATTCACCATGACTGATGACAACATGAAGAAGAACCTGATAAAAGACATGGACGAAGCATGGACGCGGAGGGCGTTTCGAGATGGACCCCCTCCGGGGTGGTCAAAGACGATTGTTACGTCCAAGGAAACCTTACCGACACCTGGTATCACCTCGACACCGGCAAAAGATACTCAAGGGCAGTCAGTGGCCCCAGGAGGGAAGGAAGGTTAGACAGGGATTGAGGGTGAGCTTGGCGGTTCCACTACAGGGGTAGTCAATCAGGTCGTCGGCGGATCTGGAAGTGGGGGTGGACCCACGGGTTCATTGGATAATAGGCAACAGATCGCGGCAAGAGTAAACAACCCTCCAGAAAACAACCTCCCGGCGGCAGGAGGGGACCAGATGTTGCATATGACAAGAGCGAAGTTGGCTAGGATTATTGCCGATGCAATTGGACGAGCTCAGGTTGTCGATAGAAGGGCTACCAATGAACCAATCAGGCAGTCTGTACAGCAACAGCAGTTACTACCGCTGAACCAGTCTCAGCGTCGCGAGAGGGGTGACGAAGATGAGGATAGGTCGGCAACCTCTCGGCCTGTCGCAGCGACGCAACAGGAAGGAGTAACTTTTGAGAGGTTGGCTTCTCAGATGCGGGAGTTACAGGCACGGATGCAGGAGAGAAGGCCCATGGTATCTCGTGGGCATCCTTTCACAGAAGAAGTACTGAGAGGTGACCTGCCACATAATTTCAGAGAATTAAGCTTATCCTATGACGGATCTGCAGACCCCGCAAGGCACTTGAGGTCGTTCGACAACATAGCGGTGTTGCATAGGTATAGCGATGCAGTGAGTTGTAGGGCTTTCTTGACGACCTTAAAAGGGTCGGCGCAGGATTGGTTTCATCAATTGCCGCCTGGATCCATCGACAACTTTGAAAAATTCAGCTCTCTCTTTTTGAACCAGTTCGCTAGTGCCAGAAAGCATGAGAAAACGTATTTGTCGTTGATTAGCATGCAGCAAAAGGAGGGTGAATCTTTGCGACAGTATGTGGCGCGTTATACTAAGGAATGTGTGGAAGTCCCTACTGCAACAGAGGAAATCAAAGCTGGAGGGCTCACTAGGGGTCTACGGCCAGGAAAGTGTCGAGATTCGTTGGCTAAACGTCCGGCGAGGTCGTTTGACGAGCTTTTGGAGAGATGCAGCAAGTATGTTAATATGGAGGAGGCGGAAGCAGACTTTCTACAGAATGATAAGATAAAAGTGAAGTCGGCGGATGAGATGACCCGTCAAAATGAACGACGAGCTCCCCAGAAGGAGGTCAGGGCGGAAGATCGATTTAAGGGGCCCAGGTATGAACACTACAAACCATTGAGGGCTCCCCAAAAGAAAATTCTTGAAGGGATAGAGCGACGAGGAGAGACTAAGTTGTTAGCAGCACCCAAGCCCTTGCCTCCACCGCGAAAATTCTCGGCAGAAAAGGATAGGTATTGCCGATACCACCGCGATTACAGTCATTCTACCAATTTCTGTCGTGAGCTGAAAGACGAGATTGAGCGGCTTATCAGAGCCGGGCAACTGAAGGAGTTCGTGATAAAAGACAAAGAACGTCGTGACGAGCGCCCAGAGGGGCGTGAGCTAGGTGACAAACGCCGGAGAATGGAAGAACAACCAGATAGAACAGTGAAGAAAGGGGTGATTCATATGATAGCAGGAGGTCCTACGGGTGGTGACTCACACAGGGAGAGGAAGAGAACATATCGAGGAAAGAGCATGATGGACGAGGTGGCTGAGGTCAAGGTAC